CAGTCATGTATTAAGTGCCCTAAACCTAAACCCTAAACCCCTAAACCCCTAAATCCCTAAACCCTAAACCCCTAAACCCTAAACCCTTCACAAGCTTCCAAACTTGGAACACCGGCCGCATCTTGGAGCCTCACGTTTCAGAGTTCGAGTTGGACTCCTTGTTGCAACCCAAAGGGTTTAGGGTTTAGGGTTTAGGGTTTAGGGTTTAGGAATGGGTTCTTGTAGTATCCCATTTGGTAATCTTCACGTACCCCACGTGCACGGAAATTTCGACATGGGTTACGGTTGCCAAAGCACGCTTTCCATACGCGTATCTATATCTGTGTTCATAATATCTAGATCTATATCTGTTGCTATATCTATATCTGTATCTGTGTTTTTCTCCATATCTAAACCGTTAACTATATCTATACGAGATCTTTTTCTGTATCCACATCTGCATCTGTACCTACATCTATATTCGCATAGAGCTAGAATACATAGTCAGATACCTTCGTGTTCCTAAACCCTAAACCCTAANNAGCCCTGAACTCTCGCGCCCGACATGGCTATGTCTTGGAAGCACATTCGGGCACCTTTGCCGGCCTGCAGGCTTACTGTATGGGTAGTTAGGTTTAGGGTAGTTAGGTTTAGGGTTTAGGGGTTCTAATAATTGGGGTCCCTGTCAGTGTCCTTTTCTTACTGGTGCCGTACGACTTTGCGGATTAACGAAGGGACCCTGATTTGGAGAGTTACCCGTATACGTAGGTGTTCTTGCGAACATGGGAGTCGCAAGAAGACTGCTGCTTCATGTAGGTATTGCACCAGAGACCACGAACATTATTGGATCTTTACGTTCCGATCGAATGAAGGATCATATGTACCGAAGACGGCGTTTTTCAACTATTGCTCGAAATGAGTTTAAATTCTTGTTGGTCAGAAAAAGCAATGAACGTGCACTCGACCCTAGGTGAAAAGCTCGCTTCTCCAGCTCCTGACCACGGGAAGTCCAGCTCCCCAGAGAGCTCAATACCCCTTAACTAAGGAGTCTTCCTTAAATCATAGGGCCCTTAGTATTATGGTTTAAGGTATATTCCTTAATTGAGGGGTCTTGGGCTCTCTGGGTCCTTCAATCATGTGAGCAACTCCTAAACCGAACGGAAGCGTGAGTTGCATTTCAGTCCATCCTGCAAGTCTTGGCTGGGACCCAGGACTCCTGAACCTTACCTTTGGTTAGTAGGGAATGGAGGAATGGGTACAATTATAACTACAATTACTACCATTCTTCCATTCCCTACTAGCGAAAGGTAAGCAAGTTCAAAATCTCTGCCCTTCAAGCGCAGGCCCGTAAATTTTTTGAGCCCTCGCACCCTTCCACACCCTAAACAAGCTCCGCCCTAAACTCTAAACTTTAAAGCGTAGGTTCCATTCTGAAGTTGCCGAATGCCTCATGCGCATGAAGGCCGGATGGGCTCTGACTCGCAGTAGAAGGGCTCTTTGACGGGATTGTGCCTCTGCTCGACAGAGAAGTGGTCACCGGGCTGGAGGCCGGGAATCCTTCATGAAACCCATGGTACGACGCTTTTAGACTGTCGAGCCCTTATAAAAACCCTACTAGAAACGCTTCTGGAGCCGCTCGAATCTGGCTGCCTAGCCCTCAGGAAATCGATGGCATTGCCAAAGTGGAGCCTTCCGCTCAGTGAAATTTTTGAAGCCAAGTAGAGCTGCTCTTGGGGTTTCTCTACGGGTTACTATATCTGGAGGGTTCAAACAAGGGTTCCGAAGGTTGTTCTAAAGGGGTTCAGGGTTGAGGTGTGCCGTTTTGCGTTTCGGATCGCAGTTTCAAGGATTGCAGCGATTAAGGCTATCGGGAGTGTTTCCAATGCGAAATGAGGACGTGACGCTCCGAAGGGATTGTCGTCTGATGTTCGGTTCCTTCTTCTGCTAGAACTGCCCTTTACAATCTTAGATCTACTTTGAGTCATACTAATGCCGTCGGCGAGTACTGCTCGTTCTGGTACCGTTTTTCGTAGTCGTCGGAGTCATCGTCGTCCTAATAGTCGAAGTACAAGCAGCAGCAGCAGCAGCAGAAGTACGTAGCAGTGGTGATGGCCCCTAAACCCTAAACCCTAAACCCTAAACCCTAAACCCGTAAGAGCAGCAGCAGAGCGGAGCCGAAGGACTAGAATGAGGTACTGGTGCTAGCACTCGTATCAGTGCTAGCAGGCACTACTGTTAATGGACAAACTTCTGTATGACCCAAATATAGTACCATAAATCCCATAGTTTAGGTATATAAGGTCATGCATGATTTTGTCCATCAACCGTAGTACTAAGCACAGTGCTACGGGTCGTGTGTGGAAGTAGTAGAGAAGTAAGGGGATCATGACATGACAGTGGTGTGTTTTTCAGTCTTGGTATATGTGTGGTCGATAATTCTGTCGTCGCATTGACGCAGCAAGAGTAGACGTCTAAAGCCGGAAGCCCTCACATCCTAAACCGTCAACCCTAAATCGGAAAATTCAGAGCCCCTACGCCCTCATTGCTCAAACCCGTAGCCTGGAATTTGCAGGCATTGAACCAGAAGCCCTAAATCCGAAACTCGAACCCAGGTTCAAATCCAGGTTAAACCTGGATTCAACCCGGGTGCATGCTAGTCCCTAAACCCCAAGCCCAAAACCCTAAACTCAAAATCCTGAAAGCCTTAACCCCTAAAGAAACCCTAGACCCTAAACCCAACACCCAAAACCCTAAACCCTTAAAGCCTTAACCCCTAAACCCTGAACCCTAAACCCTAAACCCTTAACCCTTACAGCCCAAAATCCAAAACCCTTAAAGCCTTAACCCCTAAACCCCAGAGTCAGAGACCAAACCGAGGCAGTGCCGACTCTCCGAGTGCGGCTCCGAGATCCGGCGGTCTTGTTGCTGTACGGAGCTGTGCGACATTATATCATTTTGGGGTTTAGGGTTTAGGGTTTAGGGTTTTGGGTTTAGGGTTTAGGGTTTAGGGTTTTTGGTTTATATCATATCATAATCCCAGAGAGCCCAATACTCCCTAATTAAGGAGTATACCTTAAATTATAGGGGCCTTAATATTATGCTTTAAGGTATATTCCTTAGTTAAGGGATATTAAACTCTCTGGGACGTATTGCAATAGCTTTCGACACGTTGCAATGCAATGTTTCAGAATATACTGTGTAATGATGCTTTACGAAGTGCCAACGTGGTCGAAGCTTCTTTGCTCAGGGAGATGTGGTGGCAAGTGCTGCTAGCAA